AAGTGATGCAACAGATTTCAGGCGATGTTAGCTGACATCAGGGTAATCAAATGCGTAAGTGCTTTGTTGAGTGAAGGCCAAAACCCACATATTTCATTGCAAAACATTTGAGTGAGATCAGGACAAGCAATGACAGTCTTCTCATGCTCAGAGAACCCACACAGCGTCTCACTGAACCCAGTCACCCACCAGTAACATCCATTTGGTATCTCACATCTTCAGCTATTTCTAAGGCACTTCCTAAAAAAAAAATAAATAACGAGTATAGCTTATTGCAGAGATGGAGAGAGAGGTTTGGAGATAAAAATAGGTAAGAGTAAGACTGGGATGCTCTGGCCCCAGACTGTTCTTACTGTAAAATCTGACCTTCCAGGTCATGGCCAAACTCAAAGTATGAGCCTGGAAAAACCTTCCTACGTTTCTGCTTTAGTCATACCAGGATATGGAGTATATATACTTATACATGTATATATATATATATATATATATAAGACATATATATACATAGGATGTACATATATCACATATATCACACATACATCAAATATACATGTTAAATATATATATATAAAATGCATCAAATACCTTGTAATAAGTAATATGTAATTTATCTGATTTATTTTTCTTTAAAATATTAATAATCTTCATTTTAACACTTTGTATCAAATATCCTGATGAAAATAGATTAGCCAAAACTTGATATCTCTATTTGGTTTGCTTCCCATTCTACTAGGGCTGCAGCCATAGCCAGCAAGTTCTGGGTAGAAAACTATTTGACCTGAGCAGCAAGCAATCATTCCCAGTCCTTAACTTGGCCTGGATGACAGGTGTGAAGTCACCTTGGCCTACAAAATGACAGGTTTAGTTTAACAGCTTTGCCCCCATACTTGTAAGAAAAGTCCTGAGGACCCTCCTACAACCTCTACAGCTACAGCTTCCCCCAGTTTTCTGTGGAGAGAAAATCTGAACAGCAAAACATCCTCTCCTCTGTAGCACTGGCAAGGAGATCAGAAGCTAAATCAAAGCTCATGAATGAAAAGAAACCTTTTCACTACATTACCTGTATATTTTTATGCCTATAGTTGATACATTAATATCAATTAAAGTCACTGCAAACCCAAAAGGAAGAGACACTGAGCTACACCATTTTAATAAATAAGGAGTTCTTAAGCTAAAGGCTTGAAGCATGGGTTTGTGTTTTTAACAGACAGAACTGAAGAATCATGGAAGAGATCAAGCTGGAAGGTGTCTCTGGAGGTCATTTGGTCAAGCCCCTGCTCCAACCATGCCCATCTAAGAGAGGAACCATGAAAAGGAAATTCAAATATGCATTGATTCTTCAACCCTTTGATATCCACAATTAAATGAGAAGTTTACCTCTTTCTCACAGAGTATATCCACTAACATTTTCTTATTTGAGCAATTGTTTCACTCATGCTTTACCATTTCTTTTAAGGTGTTAAATAGTCAAACAGCAATGATGCAGCCTTTGCCCCACACTGCTTACAATCTGGTTTTAGCTAAAACTTAGGTGAAGTAGTTGAAAAGCTCTGAAGCAGACTTCACGTCTTTTTAAAAGGAGAGCAAATAAGACAGCCAGAATCAGGGTTCACATATACATATACACACAAGGAATAAAGCATTTTTCCTCACCTCAATATATTTTCCACCTAAACGTCTTCCAGTAAAAACAGTGACCTATTGTTGAGTGATTTGCTCAAAAACTGTTCTGCTTAACTGTATTTAAAAAATTAATGGGATAAGTTCATTCCTCTTGTAATTTTCCTTAGTTTCCAGTCTCTACAGCCCAGACACTCAGGGAGGGGGAGAAAAGGAAAAAAGATGGGGAAGAAATCAAGAATATTTGAAGTATACTCTTTGGCAAAAGCTCTAGATCAAACTGATAAGCCTGCAGACTGCTGTGCATTCTCCATCACAGTCTTTAAAAAGTGAAACAACCATATCGTACTTCCAAAAATAATATTCAGAAAATAAGACTCAAGATAACAACCCGATTTTATAAGAGTCCCAATAGTTTAGTCAGAAGAGAAAACCACTGCCTTGTCTTCCTGCTGTGCTTTTCTTGTCACCTTACCAGGCCTAAAGCCTCTGTTACTGGAGAGTAAAGATTTTGAAATTCTCATTATTACACAAGACAAAATAACATTTCTTGACATGGCAGAGTAGCTATCCTTAGCTTTCCACTAGTGCAAAGAGCACCGCAGTGGTACAAGCTGTAGTTTAGCTGAGAAATCCCCCAACCAGGATAAGTAATCCTTTTCTCTAGGAACACAGATGCCTTTTCCTGCAGCCCTCCTTTGCCTTCCCTCGTACACCCTCTAATGTATACAGATAACCTTCTGATTCACCTCATCAACACTCAAATGCTGCAAAACCAATCATTTTGCTCAATTGTTACTAGTTTGGTTTTTTTTTTCTTTATATTCATGAAGAAAATGAGACACAAAAAAGTGAAGATTAGTCAAATAAACATGCTATGGGTAAGGAAGGAATACACTTATCTTCTGACCCCCGTCTCACCTGAAACTTCCTTCTAAGAGGTTTTCACTCTGAACCTCTTTTGGAGAGAGGATAACCAGAGAATGTTAAAGCATAGTAGTTCCAAATAGAAAGGAAAGGAGGAAAAGGACGTGTGCCTAAGACACCAGCCCAGCCAGAGCTTGAGGTAAAGCCTAAAAGGTCTGTGCCCCAGCAGTCCTGTGGTTTCAAGCAAGAGCTACCCTTGCAAGGCGTATCTGTTCTGGTTCTGCCAAGGCCCGTGCACACTGCTCCATTGCTCCACTGACTCTGGTGGAAGAGTAGGGCATCTGGAGATTTTAGCAGAGCAGGTAGAAAACACAGGCGTCAAAGTTATATCCTTTGATGCAGCTTTCCTTAGTTCACTTTATTAACAAAAATCTCACATTTTAAACAAACAAACCAAAAAAAAATGTCATTAAGTTTGCAAAGTCAAGCATTCAAAAATGCATGAAAAGACCATAGTTTAGGCTTTCAGTGCAAATTAAATTAGTCTCATCTCTTTTCAGGCTCATCTCTTTTCTAAGCTGCAGTCTTTCATTACTTTTTTTTTTTTTTTAAATCTACTTCACCTCTCTTCTCTCCCCCAAGTAAGATCAAATGCTGCTCACCAATTCTCAAGTAGAAAAGCATAAAGACTCTAAAAGTTTTCTTTTCCAGCAAAGTAAGATACGAGACATTTTCCTTTCATAACATGGACAAAACAATGTCATTTTCTGTCAGCTCATTCAGAGAAGTGACTGATTTAAGTTTGGCTGAAATTCTCCCCTGCCACCAGCTCTCCCAGACAAAGATACCTGTCTGGAAAATCTCAGCCTAAACTATTTAAGCTTTGGCAGAGTTAACAGACAGTTAAAAACATGACCTTCTGGCTGAAAGCGTCAAGCAACCTTAAGCATAGGTAGCATTAGCAGCCCTGTCCATCATGCAAACAGAAGAATGAGATCCTAATAATCTGGACTTTCCACAAAGCAGGAAGGAGATTCATTAACGGAGTGAGGAATACATTTAATGCCTCTTCCAGCCAATGCAATGGCATCCTTCAGTAACAGGATTAACAATAGATATTTTCACATTTCCCTGCAACAGTTCTGCCAAAGGAACTCGGCCCTGGCCTTCCAAAACTTGTCATACCTTCAATTACACTAGCCCAGCTCTGGGAAGACATAAAATATTCCCTTCCTTGATGAATGCTAAAGGAATTCCCTCTATCCTCCGAAACTACAAATCTCAATCTTAGCAACAAAGAATTATCCAAAAGCTTGTCCTTACTTTAGCGTTATTCAATTAAGACAGCTATAACATTATCAACATTAACAGTTTAGTTTTTAAGAGAGAGCACTGCTACTTTGAAAAGATTACAGCAACACAAGCAGTAGGAAGTATGAATCTACTGTTCAAGCAGCATACAAACATAATGTTTATGTCAAGCAATGCCACAGAGATAAACCATGTCCCTCGTCTCCCACTCTCTGGTTGCATAAGAGGTCCAAACCGTCTGCAATAGGCTGCCAGGTATTTGCTCCCCTGGCCAGGGCACCCTGAGAGCTGCTCCACACTGCTACAGCAGGGGGGAATGACCACAAGCGGCTGGTGGGCTGGCAACAGGAACAGCTCATTTAGTGCTGTTCTCCCACGTCCTCAGACTGGAAAGTGGCTAAGTTAATTCAGCAGTGAGCAGAGGGGAGTATTTTTAAACATAAAGCTCATCAGTCTGCCCTGCTGGTATTTCCCAGGCTGAGGTGCACCTCCCCATCCTGCTCAGAAATTTGCATCATTTATGGTCATCCCCCACTTCAACGTTGTGACAATAAAAATAAAGAAGCAGGTTGAACTGGCTTGGGAACAGATTTACAGCCAAAACTTCCTTTCAAACCACTTCTCGCTTTCTTGTGCTCCCTCCCCTCCCACCAGGATGGTTCAAGTTCACAGCCTGGGCGATCTCCTTGCCTGCCTCGTTGCCTGCCTTGGGATGCCAGCCGTGAAATTGCCCCCTGCCAGCATCAACACAGCCCAGCAGCCTCCGAGCTGCTTCGTGTAACCACTCCCAGGCGGCCACAAGGTCATTTGGTTGAAGAGGGAAATGTTTGGTTTGCGTTAGCTAAAATTAGTCGGCGGGTGTAAGGTATTCTTATACTTTACTGTTAGAAGCTTGAGACTAGCTGGATGTTCTACATGGAAAATTATTAATGACAAGGAAATATCTTCCTTTGAAAAACACCGTGTCCTCCACGTGGTCCTGTGCTCACAGTTGTCCTACACAGAGTAGGGTTATAAACACAGCAGGAAGAAAGGTTCTGCTTTTTTATTATATATATGTGTGTGCATATGTGTGTATATATATATATATTATTTTTTTTAATGCAAGTTTTGTAACAATGGCCCAAATAAATGCTAAGTGGGAACAGAGCTCTGTTTACGATCATTGATGATCAACAGTTAATATATTTAACTTTTGCATTTAACTTTTTCTGTAACAGAAAAAGAACCTTCAACTTTTTTTCTTTCCTAAAGCTTACTCAATTATTTCTGCTTCCTTTAAGAATGCAGTTATATAAGAAACTGTATGTGGAAGTGAGGGAAGTACATGCACTGACCATAAGAAGAGAAAGAAGTAGCCAGCACTTAATTTTCTTTGTGGTGCAGTGTCACATTTTACCACCTGCAGCCAGATCATGCCGAGGGTTTGCATAGCATAACGTGCTGCCTCCCAGCCCACGCAGAGCATTTGGGCTCTGCACGGGGGCAGTTCATGGGAGAGCTGCTCTCTAGGCGTGCACACTCACAAATCCCAGAGCTGGTTCAGGCAGCAGCAGATTTTCTCCCATTGGCCTCTGGCTGGAAAGCCTTTGCCTGCAACATGTGCCAGTGGGGCTCACAAAAAAACAGGGCTGGTGTCCTTACATTGACATAATTGCATGTTGATGTAAGCACACTTTTCACAGAGCTACAACCTTCTTTGTTCCCTAGATGTATGTTTTGTTTTTAAAGGGGCACACAGCAGTCCCTTACAATTAGTGCCTGACATTTATAAAGTACTTACTTGTTATTTTGCACGTGACAAAAGCTGAAGATAGATGGGCAGCCAGGTTTCTGTTCCTGCAGCCCACCTTCTCTCTGAATTGTATCTTCTCCCTCTTCTACAGCCAGTTTCCCTCATCCTCAGTGAGCCCTGATCCATTCACTTTCCTGCTCAGCTGACTGGGGAATTCAGCAAATTCACACCTATCTCTGTCTTCTATTTGGAGATTCCTAATTCTTCCTTCAGATATAGCTCATTTCTGTAGCTCAGGTCCAAGGCTGTCCCATCCAAATGGGAGACATGAAGGCTGAGAAATAATTTACAGGGTATATTTAATATGATTGCTAAATATTGAGGGATTCCACCGATGATACTGCAGCATCCTAACTTTCAGCAAGGATTGATAACCACTGTGTGGGACACCTCCCCTACATTGTCATAGATTTGGGACAGATTTTGCACATGGGATGCTTTTGCTTTCAAAAGTAAGCATGAAGTAAACATTTAGGCCATCCCTAACAGACAAGCTAGCTCATTTCTCCATGAATTTCAGTCTTGTCTTAAAAATATATTATTACAACAATGAAGTAATTCTGCACAGGACAATCTGGTGTTTGGGATTAGCAGTGCTAAACCTTTGAGAGCTGAAGAGCCACTTCATTATGAGTACAAGTGATGAAAAAAGCAGCTTGACAGACTGGTACTGGCACTCTGGTACAGTAGTGCACTATTTTTTGACACAAATTAAAGTCTTATCTAATAATGCGAAAGCATAAATTAATGGTTTGTTATTTCTATCCATTCCCCCCTTTGCTTCAGAGATTGATTCATTAAATGCAACTTCAAGAACAAGCAGATATATGCCTGACTTTTCTCCAATTCACCAAACACAGAGCTGTAAAGAAAAAAAAAAAAAGTCAAATCAAAGTTTCCTATTTTCCAATCCATTTCAAGACTCTGCATGGTCTAAAGCATGTCATAAATATCTCAATTAGCAAAAACTGTGGGGATAAAGCTGCATCCCTCAGTCTTTTGGCATGAACATAGTATACTGTAACTCTAAGTAGCGGTTACTGCACCGTTAGCATGAAGTTAGAATTACATCAATAGCACCACTGCAAGAAAAATCAAGCCCTGGCACACCAGTTTGCCCTTATCAGCCAAGCTGCCTGCCTGGGTTCTCTGTTAGCTGCACTCTCAGCCCCCCAAAAAGCAGATGCTTGCAGTCCAGTCTTCCTTACAGAGTCTACCCAGAATTTGGCAAGATTTGGAGAGTCTTAAATGGTTAACTCCACATCTGCTTCCATATGTTGGCATTTATTTAATTCTAATTGAAAAAATGAAAAGCTGTAAACTGGATGACAAACATGGACATCAACTATTAATGTTCCTCTTCATTTGCCACGCAAAAGAAGAATTCCAGATTACTACTTTATTTTTAGATATTGCTTGCTCATAAGCAGCCTTGTATCCTCCTTTGTGGGTTTTGGACTTGAGCAAGTTACACCACAGACTGCATTTACATTTTGCAGCTGCTCTAGGTATAACATTTTAATGTCATTTTAAAGGTACCGATCTTTATATTCTGCCAGCAGATGTGCAAAAATAGTATTTATTATTGTTTTCAGAAAGAAGAAATATGTTAAGATCATTCTCTTTGTCAGAAATAAGTTACTCCTTAGGAAAAAAATAAATAAATAAAACAGATGATAACTACAAAAGGGGAATGAAGCAATGATAGAGAAGTGCTGATGTGCAGCTGCTGCTCTCATCGTCTTTGAGGCTGCTGGAGGGAGCTATAATGGACAGGCAACTTGACATATGCTCTTAAATGCCACTCGGCAGAAACATGAACCAGTGGGTTCTTGTTTTACACATGTGGGGAGGTGAACTTGCCTTTGGAAGTTTGGCAAGACTGACGTTAAAAATATTGCGTGTGCTGGGGAAAACGAACAGCAACAGCACAGATTTCTCAAGAATAAACAGGATGAGTGATCGCTAGGCTTCCTTTTCCACTCTGAAGGTGTCCACTAAGGGTCCAGAATTAACCAGATCACTGGGAAGTATAGCTGAAATCCACATCTGGGTGCTGAAGTCAAACCAAAGAGAGCAAAGTCACAATTTTTTTCAGTAGAACTTGTAATCAAGCAGCGGCACAGTTATCTCCTGGCATCTCTCCACACAGACTAGATACCTTTTCAGGTTGCCTGCTCTGGTTTAAAACTAAAATCAAAAGTTATGGAGTTCAACATATACACAGTGAAAGGGTAAAATATAATGGCCTATAGCAGCCTATAATTCAAGGAACCTTATGTAAATCATCTCTTAGCCTCGGTCTGTGAATGCTCTCATCAAGTTCAAAGAGTAGAGTAAGAAAAAAAAATTAAGGACAGCTGCTCCTCTACAAAACTATAACAGTGCAATTTATTTCTCTTTTTACTTAAGCGACTTCACCTACAGAACATAAATAGTCTGGTCCATAGCACCTAGCCATAAACCTAACTCCTTGGGGCATAGCAGCAAGAAACTCTACTAAAACTGAGAAGTAGCATCCACCCCAGAGGGAACCCAGGCTATCAGTCTTCTCTTTTAGAAATTTATTATTTATGGCCTAGTCTTATTATAGCAACATTCTGCAGATTTTTTTCTGTGTCAGAGCATTTAATAAATGCTGTATATTCTCAAACTATAGGTGCATGGTATCAATAAACTATGCAGTGAATGTAACCTTTGTCTTCTAACCCATGTTTGCAAATGACTTTCTAACATTTCACCGAACAGGTGAGAAACACAAACTGACACGCAAGTAATGCAGCAATTGGACACTCCAGTCTAGATTTTAAGACTTCAACAGGGGCTCAAACATATGAAAGAAGCTATTGTAGCCAGTTAAAGTAATCCATTGAAGATAAGTAGCATTTTAAAACACATCATCTGAGAATATTTCTCATTTCAGCTGTGGGCAGGTTTTGGTCCAGAAGCAGGATTTTACACTTTCAAAGCAAATACAACGAGCTAACAGAACAAATAATAAAATGCATCTAATTGAATCCCTCACTGCTGAAACCAAATAAAGTCTTCTTAATCATGCCAATACCTGTGATCATATCCACTTTGGTGACTATTGAGTCTAGCCTCTTTTTGTTAAAAAAACAGAAGCTAGCCACACACAGCTCATCACAATATAAAGTATATATAGAGAGAGAATATAATCTCAAAGCAAACTCTCTGCTACAGTATCTCTGCAAAGAGAAATAATACTGAGGTGCCACGGCCTCCTCTCAAAATATGCATGAAATTGCCACTGACATCTGCTGGGACTCAGCACACAGCAAAAGAGCAGGATGTGGCCTCATGAAGCAAACTGCTTCGGAGTGCTTGATAAACAACGTACCAGCCCAGGGCAGAGCCCTGAACCTCTTGCTCATACAGAACGCCCACAGGTCAGCGGGAGAGCTTCATCTGGAAAAGGAGTCAGAGTTTTATGCTATTAAAAGTTAGATTAAAAGAAACAGATGTAGACTTGCAATTATTTCAATTCATTTTAATCATTTGGGTTTTAATTTATTAATATGAAAAGTGCTTTCCCTAAACAAAATATGTTAAATGTTACAGCAACGGACTATGGCCCCTTTTCCTTGTATTTTGCACTTATTACAGGCTGAGTAATATGAACCTAACCATATCCTTTCCTTTAAAGCTAAAAAAAAAAAAAATAAAAATAAAAAAAAAATCTGGATATTCTCTCTATCAGCAAATAAAGATAAGAGCAGCATGCTGAAAATGCCAATTTTACTGCATATTTCAGGATGCGATAATACACTTTTCATAGCAAATTCTCTTTTCTGTATCCAGAAATCAATAACTTAACTTTGTTTTGCTCTTTTCTTGCAAAATGCTGGAATTTATAGAAAACATTAATTACAAAGCTGTCTCTGACTATTACTGCAAATTTAGCATGTCTCATGGAGCACAGAAGTTGTAATTATGGCTTAGTGGAAAATGAGTAAATAGCTAACTATTTGTGGTGGGAGAGCTTTCAGGAAAAATAAACTTATGCAAGTCCACATGAAAACACTGAAAACAAATTGAAGAATGTGAAACAAGAGCATTTCTACCTAAGCAAAGGTTCATAATCAGCCAAGAATTCCACTTGAAGGGCTGGAGCCTACAGTGATTGAATACATGACATTTACAAATAAAAGCAGCTGGCTGTGAGGAGTCTCTTAAAACTAATCAATTTTCCAATACGTTTTATTATGGTTGTCAAAAATCCAATGCTGCAGGTTAGTACCATGCAGCTATCGAAAACCCACCATGGTGGCTGCATAATCTTTGCTTATTTGAAGGTCTGACAGTTTGCCTTGATTAAAATAAGAATACTTCATTAAGAGTATTAAGCATTGCCTTCTGAGTTATGTAAAGTTTATGATTTTTCATTTATGCTTTAGAATCTTAACCACATTGTCTCACTTATGCATAATCCATCAACCCAGGTGACAAATAGTCTTCTATATTTGCACACTAGGAATATACAAGGAGCATACTGTATTAGCAGCTGAAACTACAAACGTCACTGTCAATCAAACCAGCTGGCATAGGACCATATTTCTTGTCACCAAGAGGCTTAAAGCAAAGAATCTGTGCCTAATTCTCTTAAACCTTACAGGTCAAAAGGTTTTAAAATTATTTTTGACACCATTTCTTTGCTTTGTCAACAGGCCTGAGTACTTTTTAACATGTAAAGGATATCAAAAAGCTGCTCATCAGAACAGTCTGGCATTAACAATTTATGGGTTTAAAGTCCAGAGTGTGCAGCAATCCCACTGGCATAACAGCACGCCTTTCTGTAACGAAAGGATGGAGATGCGGCTGGAGGGCCGTAACTTTTATTAACGCAAAACCTCCGAGCCTCCAGGCAGCCAGCCCTCGCTGAGCCAAAGCCTCCTCGCAGCGCAGAGCGGCAGTGCAGCGCCGAGCACCCTGCAGGCCCTGCCACACAGCCACCTCCCTCCCTGCTTTTCTCCTCCTTCAGTGCCCCACTTCACTTCCCCACAAACCCCAAGCACACACGGCACATCCCTGAGCTTGCAGCAGTCTCATCCCTTTCATTTCCTGAACTGCTCTGCTCACAGGAGGTGACAGCCACCATTGAAAAATTGGGGCTTTTCCAGGCTTTTGGGAGCCCAGCTGTTTTAACCTCTCTCAGTTAAGGTGCTGCTTTGCAGCAGGACCCCAGCTAAAACTTTGCTCCTGTCCTGATGGGCCAGCGGGAGGAAATGCAGTTCCTTCCCAGCAGAGATCACAGTCCAGAAATTGTGAAAATACTGAATGACTGAAAAGCAATCCCCCTATGCAAACTGCTGGCTGCAGCTCTCAGGGACTGTCGCCAGCCTCTCCCGCTCTCTGCCTTCAGGATACAGCCCCTGTGCCCTGGCAAGGAGTGGAGGAACCACGCCACTGTGATGGGCAGTACAGCGCTTCTCACAGAGCCAGCTTGGGCTGGCATGACTGGGATCCGCCACCTAGAAATCCCTACGCAGCTCCCATCCCCATTTGCCCGGTAGAGTGAGCCTGGTAGAAGACACCCAGGAGAGCAGAAAGCTTTCTGGCTAGAGAAAAGCAAGAGAACAGACTGGGGTGACAGGCTGCCACAAGCAATGGGAAGCTTACATGGTGAAGAGGAGTAAGGTGAGATTTGAACGACAACGGGGATGAGCTTGAACGTGGTGAGGGAAATACAGTTTTGAAGAAGAAGGAAAAGAGATGGTGGAATAATGATGTGGGTAGAAAGGACAAGATACAAATCAGTGGAAGGGAAGGACTGAGGGCACAGAATAAGACAAAAAGAAGCAGACCGTGTTTACACTGAAGAGATCATCAGGAGGAGAGCCCAGTACCTGGACACTGCCTTCAGATGCCAGAATAAGGAGGAGCACTGCAGGAAGCCTGCAAAGTTCACTGCAGGGACGTCCATTTGCCTTGCACCAAGGTACATTCCTGGACTTTTTATAAAGGTTTCCCCTTTCTGTTTCAGGGTACAGGGATTTGACATCCTGTGGTGAATGGTGTTCCAAAACTAAGCACTAAATGCAAGTTTGCTTCTTGCACAGGGACAGAGCTGATGGCCTGGTGCCACTGAAACCAGTGGCACAAATGCTCTAGGAGAGGTGGTGGTGGGATTGGTGCTCTTGTCCCCACACTTCTGTCCTGCTGCAGAGCAACCCCTGCCAAAGAGGACTTTCTTCCCCCACCTCTAAACGAACAGGCACCATTTACACAGATTTGACCCCAGGCTTTCCCTGATGTTAAACTTCAAAATAATAAATTATAAAAGTAGTAATAATAATCAGCCTGGAGGACCCCAGACCTGCTGGAGCAGGTACCTCCACAATCCTTCTCCACCCTTAAAAGAGTTAATTCTCCTGTCTGCCAAACCACTTAGCTCAGACACTGGAGCAGAGGGAAGAGGAGGAGGGAGGAGGAGAAAAAAACAGGGAGGGTAGCCAAGATGACAACTCCGTGCAACCCCCGGAAGTGCTCTGGGGCTGAATTTTGGCCCGCGGCCCAACGCTAGCAAGTACCACTGGCTTCGACTCTATTAGATGAAATATTATCATAAGGTTATATCCATTTTCCTCCCTGCGCTGTATGTGTGCACTGAGTCTGGTTTTTATTTTGGTTAAGGGCAAGGACACTGCATTCAACAACCCAAACCCAACCTTCTGATTAAAACAGTGTATTTCATTACAACATATGCACAGGGACATAAATATCTAAATAAACATGGGTTTGATAAAAATTGTCATGAAGCAAATCAAAAGGGAGACAATGAGCTGCAGAGCACTGCACACAGAGATCATGGCTCAGCCTTCCTTAACTTTACCCTTCCCTGGCTTTAACAAGAAGCTCGAGCCTTGGGTCCGCAGAAAAATTACTCGCCACTTTTAGACCTCCCTTCCTTTGCCCTGCCGTTTTGCTGTGTCAGCTTGCTGCATTGAAATTCAGAAAGCAGCACAGCCACAAGCTTCTCACATCTCCCTGTAAACTAAGAGATGGGCACGAATCTCACCCCTGGTTCTGACTTTTGTAAAGGTTGCAACCTGTCTGTCAGGATGGGATAAGTGATAGATAACAGCCCATCTGAAGGAATGGGGAGAGGGAATACAGCACATCTTCCATAGTGGGACGCAGCAGAGATGAAAGGCAGAGATACAGGATTCCCATCAAAAAGAGAGGTGAAAAAGATATAAGTGTCTTTGGAACAGAGACTGCAAAATTCATGAAAAGCAGCAGAAACAGAGACTCCTAGTGAGAACAGAAACAGTCCAGGAGAAGAAAGACAGCAGTCCTATGATGAACCCATTCCAACTTCAACAAAAGGAAGTACAGGAATTTCTACTATTACTGGAGAAAAAAAAATAAAATAATAAAAAAAAATCTGATGTTTACAAGGTAACAAAAACACCACTCTTGGTGGTGAGTTATGAAGTGCAACTCATAATTTCTGAACACTGTCAAGGTTTTCCTCTCCTCCCCTCTAACACATTTCTTTACCATCTTTCTCTTCCTATCCCTGGTTTAATTAAATCCTTTTTTTTTTTTTCCTACAATGTTAAAACTCCAGTTGGTAAAAACAACCCTCCTTTTCACTGAAACTGCAAAGGTCTTTTCAATCCTTACTTCTCTCTTTTCCACTTCTAACAACTCCACTGAGTTCTAGTGTGCTCCTTTCATCCTTATTAGGTGACATTTCAGATTGTTCTGCTTTAGTGTAATGCAAGCGTACGCTTTTCTGCTGATTTATGGCTGAATATACATATATTGCTTACAATAGTACGGTTTTATATGCAACATAGAGCTGCTTTTGGTCCCTCTGATCTCTCTTCAAGAACTGAACGAGGGTACTTTTATCACATTGGAGGAAAGGATAACAATACATCAGTAAAAGGACAATTAAGAAACAACCGAGAATTACTTTCCTGTATGCATGTACAGAAGAGCTGTCGGGGTTTAGAGTTAACAGAAAATCCAAGGAATTCCCTAGAAACTGGGAAATAGATTATTGGTCATGTGGTGCCTACTTTAGCTTTAGAGATTTATGAGGGTCTCCCCCCAACCCCTTTTGTGGATGCAACCAAGTACGTGTCCCTCCTAGATGCTGACTGCACCTGGTGCCTTCCAGGTTTTCCCTACAAAGGTTTCTCTTAGTAGGGAGCTCTGACTGCTTTCAACCCTCTTTCAGCTAGAACAGCTGTAGCGTAAGGCACAGAATTCTTTGGAAACATTTCCCTTTCTTACAAAAGGTACCAAGAAGTCTCACGTGCAAGAAAAACAAGTTACAAATAGGCAACATCAGGTTTCAGTAATAATCCCTTTTCCATTGTCTGACTAAATCTGTCTAAATCTCAGGCCTTTTGCTTGTCTGTGTTTTAGATGCTTCAAATACAGAGCACACAGAG